TATTCAAGTATTCAGCTATTCAACTATTCAAGTATTCAACTATTCAAGTATTCAAGTATTCAAGTATTCAAGTATTCAAGTATTCAAGTATTCAGCTATGCAACTATTCAAGTATTCAACTATTCAAGTATTCAGCTATTCAACTATTCAAGTATTCAACTATTCAACTATTCAGCTATTCAGCTGTTCAACTATTCAACTATTCAACTATTCAACTATTCAAGTTCTCAATTAGTCAACGGCTGGAATGCCATCAGAATCATCTAACATCGACAGGTATTGTCTGCGAGGCTACAAACATCCCCTATGATGCTACAAGCATCACCTAGAATGCTACAAGCATCCCCTAGCACGCTACAAGCATTCCATAGGATACTACAGGTTTTGGTTGAGATGCTGTAGACATTATCTGAAATGCTACAAGAACTATGTGAGAAGCTTGAGCTAATGTGCAGCACTGAGTAGGAATAATGGTGTACATAGAGACGTGCATGGGTCGCAGCTCTTCAGGGGCGCTTTGTGCTCCCACGCGGCGACGCTGAAATAAAACATGTATTAGATGGGGAAACGCGCTTCCCCACTGAATATTCGCAGAACAATTGAGAAGTTAAAATTTGAATAGTTGAATACTTGAATAGTTAAAACTTTAACTATTCAATAATTGAATACTTGAATTCAAGTATTCAAGTATTACATATATGGACAACTGTTGAATCTATGTATAAATAGGAAGCACATAAGTTATAATCGAAGAGGGTGTGGGTGGATGTTGATTTCTCTTCACCCACATCTGCATCTACAAAGGATGTCACAGTTCCAATTCTGACCCATTTCAACTCTTAAAATTGTTCAGAATCAGTTGCAATTGAAATTGGTCTTGAAAAAATTGGGATCGAATTATTAATTTATGTCAATACGTGCAAAACTAGTGATTCTACAACAACCAATTCCATTTCCAATCAACATTGACCGATTCCAAGACAAGAATTGGCATCAGTGCATCCCTCAGACTCATCCACACACAGACTCACAGCTACACACTGCAATGTTGATCGAAGAGAAAAACCCAGTATTTGAATGGAGGTAATGATAAGCAACTTTTAAAGCTTTCTCACACAGGAACATTAATCGAGGAAAAAAAACCCATTATTCAAATAGAGGTTAAAAAATAGCAATTTTTAAAGCTTCCTCGCGACGGAACATTAATCAAATAAAAACACTCAGTAATCAAAATCGTGTGATGACAAGTAACTTTTAGGGTATTATTTTTCTACCGGTGTATGCATCGAGTAAACAAAAATATTCAAACATCGGCCGTAGCTCGTTCTATTGAATTCAAGATACAGAAGAAAAACAACTAATTATGTCAGCAAAACCTTTGGAATGATTCGTCTTTATTGTTGGTCAGTTCGACTAGGATCAAAATACTCTGATTATTTTGAACACTGGTTCCAAACCTCCAGATAATCTTCTATTCAAGAAAAAAAAGCATACTAACAGAAGCACGCAAAGTTAAGCAAAATTGTCTAATCGTATGAATTAGACAAGGTAGTTAAATATTGTTGAATTCTGTCTTCCGTGTATTTTTGTTTATTGCTAGCTACGAACAACGCCTGATTTCTATACAATGCGTTATATTTAGCCAAAGAACTAAAAACCTATGAATCTCTTGTGAACTCGAAGAGAAAATGCAATTAACTTTTACAAACATATTGAATTGAAGCAGAAAAACTATAAATTAAACTTAACAAATTTTTTCTTCAAAAAGAGTCTATTCGATAAAAAGACAGGGCCTCATATGGCCACAAATTCATCTACTTTGAATATTTCAATAAAAATTATGTTTATCTATACAGGAGGAGATATCACATCGTTCGATGATAAGTTCTACGTGTGAGCTAACATTTGAATCGATTTTGCAATACATTTGTGAACGATATTGTTGGCCTATACCAGTCGAACCTATAAAGACCATGCTTTGACATGAAATAAATCAAATTTCGGCGAATGAGCTCTGTGTGGTCTCCATTGAAAACAAGTAAAGAATACTGTGCAAAACTATTATGAAATAGTTGAAAGACGTATATACTTACATAAAATAGTTCGTTAGAAAGCAAAAGTGAATTTGATTCTCATTTTTCATTTGTGAACTCACATTCTGGTCGGCCAACTCGCATTTATAAGATTTCTTCGCAGAGTTTCATCTAATGATTTTGATAGTTCTTTCGAAGTTACAAGCTTCTATAGTTAGATTCTTTCTATTTTACTAATCAAAAATTTCCTAAGAGACATATTGTTCGTGTGGTAACATGAGTAGTCAATCGAAAACACACAAAAGTCTTCGAAAAGTTTTAGACAGAATATATATCTTGCAGAATTTTTTGCACTGATTAATTTAATTAAAAAGTTTTGAAAAAGATTGATAAACAAGGATGCTGAGGTCAAGTTGCTCGAAAAAAGCCGGCTGACGCAAATAAAATAAATTTAAATGACTCGTCTCGAAATGTATTTTTCTTGATTGAGTAACAAAACGATAAAAAACATTTCTTCTGTTTTGCTGCCGTCATTGAAATTTTCTCTATCAACAAAAGTAAAAATCCCTCTATAAACAGCAAACAAGAGAGAGAAAGAAAAAAAGAGAGAGAGAATTGATTACTATTTATACTGATGAGACAGCAGTATTTGTACGGTCAATTTTTCATTTGGCGACAAGTCTATTATTGTGTAGCTGGGACCAGGCGAAGGTGAGTACTCGAAACGAAGATCTTCGGTGTGTTTAGTCACCAAACTGAAAAGGCATTGGTGAGTTCGAAATTGCCGTGAAATAATAGAAGTTAAATATACGATTTTGAAAAATAGTGCGAGGCATATCGAGCGTTATACAAAAGATCACACTTTCATTCTTAGTATATCAATCTATCTTTCAAGAGACCATGCGTTACTCGACAATGATGCATATCTTGTCATAGAGAAAAAGTAATTGTATGAGAAATAAAACGAAGGATGTGGGTGTCGGTGTGGATGAACAGAAAATATCTATCCACACCCTCGGTTCGGGCTCTGTGGTTTAGTACTGTTTACTGAATATCTGTGGTGGATGATTATTCAATTTCTATAATTATCTTGGTTGTAGTAGTGAAGTGCAGAGTCCGAGATGTGCCAAAGTTTGTTTGGTTCGGATTTGATTGGATTCGAACCAAAGAAAAAGAGCTAACGTGAGCTAGATTTGTGCACATGAACTCATTATATTCACTAATTTGAATGACTTGAGAAAATTTATAGGTGTATAGATTCGAAAATAATCGGAGTGGGTGTGTGTGAATGTGGGTGTGTTGGCAGATGTGAAGAGAAATAATACTCACATCCACACCCACACTCACACCCACACCCCACACCCTCCCCACCCACACCCCACACCCCACACCCACATCCTCTAGCCACCCACACCCACACCCACACTACACACCTACACCCACACCCACACCCACACTACACACCTACACCCACACCCACACCCACACTACACACCTACACCCACACCCACACCCCACACCCCACACCCCATACCCACACCCCACCCACACCCACACCCACACCCCACCCACACTTCACATCCTCTAGCCACCCACACCCACACCCTGATGTGTCGAAATTAGGGACATTTTTTTTCATCGATTTTAGACGTCTTCCTCTCAAGTTATTGTACTCATTATAAACAAATTCGTTTTGTCATAAACCTTTAGGTTATGATAGGTCTTGACATACTCTACAAAATTGCACAGGCGACCTTTGCTCGGTTGCTGATTAAAAGCCGTAAAAAACTTGTTTGTTCTGAAAAGATTGTATTTTACTTGTATTTTGTATAAGTGTCGATATTAGGGACAAAAAATGGCTTGCTGTGGAAATTAGGGAAACTGCTCCTAATAACGATAGATGGAGTTCATCATCGTAGACCGCTAATTTCTCCGTAAAAACATTGAAGAAAAAAGGTCGTTCATATACCATTTGAAAGAGTAGATTCCAGAGATTATGCATATATAAAAATATTTTACTTCATATAAATATCTAGCTGTGTACGGACTCAAACAAGATAAGACAACTTTTTGCTGTCGATATTAGGGGCATTTGCTCTATATTTTCACCAAAAAGTTCGAAAAAAAACTGTTTATTTTTTTATCTTGCGGTACGGGACAGAGCATGGGAAGCAAAAAATCTAGGTGACGCAATGTTCTGTCTGTTTTGCGGAATCTTTACACATACCATAGTTGACATATTACTGCCATTTCAGTTAGACATTTTGTCATTTTATTCTATTTCGATTTGTTCTCTCACAAAGCAACGGATAGATTCTCCAACAATTGAGCTCAAAATTAAGAACAATAAAAAAAAATTGAATTTATTGATACCAATTATCAGCAAAATCAAAAGTACCGCTCAATTTGTATAATTACTCATGAACACGGTCATGAAAAGTATGTTTTGTTAGTTTTACGAGTCTAGCTGGTATTACTTTCGCAGCCGAAACTATGATCTACACACTATTCCATTTCATGCTAATTAATAGGAATTAAAATATACTATCCATTGAAAGAATATTAAATCGAACGAAGTATTCTTGGAAAAGTCACGCTGAAGTACACAAGACTCAATTGTTGAGCTTTAGCTTTTGATGAACTGTGAGTTTTCAAAAAGAAAGGAACTGTTTTCCAATAACACAAGTAAAAAAAACAAAATTGCTGTATTCTCTATTTTCTTATTATTTTAGTTTCAAATTAAAATATACATTCATAATAATGTGGATAAAAAATCGATATTATTATTATGTTTTGATATTTTTCAATCTAATCCATCTAAATACATGTGCACGACCAACATTTGACACATTATTTCAAGTACCAGACGATAAAATTATAGATCCACTTACTGGTTTACCATTATCTACAACAGCACAGCAACGTAAATTGGATATAACAAAGGAAAAGATTTTGAAACAAGCCAAAGCTACACCGACTTCGTCATCAAAATATATGAATATTGATCAAGTTAAATCTGTTCAATTGAATGCAACAGCTAAGTTAAATCAAACATCATGTATTGCACTCAATCTTATTAAAACATTACAATCTGTAAAATGCATTAATAATACAATTGAAATGATGTTTGACAGTATGGCTAATAGTGCTTATGTATATCAACAATGGATTCAACAAAAAGTTACATTTATTAATGGTGGTAAAGAATGGGATTGTAAAAATTCAACAACAGGTGAACCGATGATAATTATGATGAAACTTATACCAAGTACATTTAAATTAAAAAAAAATCTTATAACTGTTAATACAACAAATGATACAGGTATTACACCAATTGTCTGTTTTGAAAGTTTAACAATGCATTTAACATCGGAACAAGAATTACCCAGTCAACAAAACTCAGCTGAAACAAGTACGGATAGAACAACTACGATAGCTACGCCTACAATGAAAGAATCTATTGGGAAAGCATCAAGCAGCTTTCAGCCAACGTCACCAGCTAAAGACGATACTTTCACTGCAGGTGATATGGTCAGAATTTCATGGCGACAAAACGGTTATGACAGTTCTTATAATAAAAATTTTAAAGTTAAATTGAAACGTGAACGACCATTATGGCCAGATGCAGAAATTCAGACTGCAACATCATGTACGGATATAACATCGGGTGTTTGTTTTGATCGAATACCATCGAATGATGCTTTAAGTGCAAATTTTTATTATGAATTTAGTTGGTGTGGTTGGTGGCCATTGTCATGTACAGTAGATGGTCCATATTTTCAAATTCCTGCACATAGAGTCGGCGGATGGAATTATAATAGTTATAATGATCGAGCAGCAAGTCAAAAACAAATTTTTTATATGGATTGTTCATCAACTCAATCGAATATTATTTCACGTTTATGTAGTGAAAGTCGTCAAATGTCAATTGATATAACATGTGCAAATTGTTATTTGAAATATGATTATAGTATTTTTCGTTTGGATCTATTTGCAAGTGGAGGTCAACTTGGTAAAATGAATGTTACATTAAAATCAATAACAACAATAAATTTAGAATTATTATTAATATTTAATTTTATTTATACTAAATCAGGCGCAATTTCATTAGGAAAATTTCCAATCTATGGTTATGGATTCACTGTATTTGGCTATTCATTTGATTTAGGATTTACTCTTGAAATTGATTTACCATATAAAATTCAATTAGATGCACTTGGTCAAGTATCTGCTGGCTTGAAATATACATTAGATACAAGTATTCGATTGGTTTCCTATGGTTCTAGACAAGATCCTAGTGTTTCTTGGTCATTACAGAAATATTATTATCCAATAGAAGCAGCACTTAAAGCAAAACTTACAATGGATGTTGGTCTAAGACCAACATTAAGAGTTGCAGCTGCAATATTTTCAATTGGTGTAACAACAGAAGGTTTTCTAAGTTTTCAAAATGAATTTCAATATCCACCATTTTCTGCTCTAAGCAACTATAATTACGATTACGATATAACAAATCCATCTCTATATCATTTTAGTTATCCATCAGATACATGTATTTCACAACATTTTATACGATATCATATTCAATTTGGTATTCGAAATACATTATTAATATTTGATATTACATTAGGTCCCATCAACAGTATAATTCAATTTTTTGCAGATACACATTATGAACAACCATTGATGTCCAATTATGTATGGGAATTATTAAGCGGTTGTTTATTTAAATCATCTAGAACGGATAGTCCACAACCAATTAATCTTTATTTAGATATACCACTTGATACATCTTCATCTTTTTTAGACTATTTTAAACCATCGTTGACATTCGATTTAGCAAATGTTCTAAAGACTGATCCAACAAGAATATTATTAAATGGAGTTCAATCTTATTTTGATCAAAAATCAAGAAAATCTGTTACAAAAGTTATTGCAGCATTATTACCATCAGTCAAATCTCTTGTTTCAGATCCAACTGTACAATCATTAACTCAAACATTAATATCACAAGAGATGAATCCATCATCAACTTTATACACTAATACGAAATGGTTAAAATTATTAATGAAAGATTTAACACTAGAATCAAATAATACTGTTGTATCAACAACAACAACAACACAATCGACTACACAAAGTAAGTTGAAAGATAATCATGAAACATCATTTTTAATGAATGTTGAAGTATAGAGAGAGAGAGAGAAAAGTGAACACTCTCTTTAAGGTGTCTGAATGTGTTCTCTGCTATTAAACGCGTATAAATACAGTCGCGAATACTTCAATTCTTTCATTAAAGAAATAAAATTACAGTTCTATTGTGAGGGATCAATCTTCTGTTGTCTTGTTTGACATACTCACTGCAATCCGACACAATTTTAAGTTAACCCAGGTCGAACATGCACGCTCGTAAACGGTCGTTTACGGAAAAAAACGGAGATATACGGAGGTCGTGCGCGGCTTCCGTATGCGATGCGCGTATACGGAGCGATACGATGAGAAACGGACTCCGTATACGGAAATCGTACAAAAATACGGAGGAATTAAAAGTTAAGCATCTGGGCTCCGTATACGGAGCTATACGACTGCCGTATACGGTCGTATGTCACCGTGCACGGTCGTATCTGATCGTATTGGTACCGTAACCGTACAATTTAATGAGCAGCGCGTTTTGTGCAACTCACATATATTTTTCGAAGAAAAATAGTGAGTATAAGTTTAAATGCGAGGTTTTTCAACTTCGCTTTCCTGCCCCATTACAGATCTTAGCATCCATGGTGAAAGGTTAAAGATCACTGGGGACAAATTCTCCCATAATAACGAACATATAAAAAGTATCAGACTCTTTTTACACAAATCCTTAGCGGCGGAAAAGGCGTTGAACGGCGTTAACAAACACGGCTTAGACTGTTCTGGAATATTTCAAAGCTTTCCTTGAAATTTAAATGGCTGGGCTACATTTTTGAATGTTGTATATAGTGGAGCTTCTAATTTTTGCTCGGATTAATGAGTAAATGATGTATACCAAAGATGGATGATGCCTGGTGATGTATTGATTTACTAGGATCATCGTAGGATCAAGAGTACTTGCCTAATTCGACTTATAATATAAATGGACTGAAAAAACATCAACACCACTCAACCTCACCAAGAATAAATTTTTTTCTCCATTTATCATTTATTATAAAAGTGATAAATGAAGACTTAACTGTGAGTATATACAAAAGATTTATATTTTTTTTGCATTATCATTTGTTATAAAAGTAATGAATGATGAACACCTTACTGTAGGTTTATACAAAAGGTTTATATATTTTTTTCTTCCTTTATTATTGATTACAAAAGTGATAAATGATGAAGACTTTACTGTAAATTTATACAAAATATTTATATTTTTTTCTCCATTCAACATTGATTATAAATCTAATAAATGATAAGTAAAAAAAAATTATAAGTATTTTGTATAAATTTATAGTAAAGTGTTCATTTATCACTTTTATAATCAATGATAAATGAAGAAAAAAATATATATTTTTTGTATAAATTTACAGTAAAGCCATCGTCGTTTATTACTTTTATAAGAAGCAATATAAGTCAACAGATTTATAGATTATTTTATTACTTATTTTCGAAATGATAAAAAACTTCTGAAGGTACGTTTATATTATAAGTCGAATTAGGCATCTCATGAGGATCAACAAAAAATTTATGAACTGATCAAGTTCTAATTCGAGAGAATCATTAAAATGAGGCCATGACACCTCTCAGTAAAATTATCAATGGACTTTTGTTCTTAATAATATTTAAATACATCGATAGATAGGTAGGTAGACACGTAGATAAATAGCTAGATAGATAGATAGGGAGGTAGATAGTTAGATAGATACGTAGGTAGGTAGTTAGATAGATAGGTAGGTAGGCAGATGGATAGGTAGGTAGGTAGATAGATAGATAGATAAATAGGTAGGTAGTTAGATAGATAGGTAGGCAGATAGTTAGATAGATAGGTAGGTAGTTAGATAGATAGGTAGGCAGATAGATAGATAGATAGGTAGTTAGATAGGTAGGTAGATAGTTAGATAGATAGATAGGTAGGTAGATAG